TGGGGTTTTTTTCCATAAAACCAAACCTGTAAAATATAGTCTTATAAGAACTGGGTTTAACACAAATATGGCCTAAGAAAAAAAACTGGAAAACATTTGTATATTGTTTCTCTCATTCGTTGCTCAAGAAAGTTAAAAAATAAATAAATATAGCAATTGGAAATAATGGCAAAAGCAGTCTTAATTGGGTAGTATTATGAAATGTAAAATAAGACAAAGCTTTTAAAGTAAGAGTTCAGAATTATCATGAACCAGCTCTGAAAAGAAAACAACATATACATGGATGAAGAAATTATAGACATATTTTAACTCTGGGTTTGGAGTGAAGGGTACAGTATTTCTTTAATTGCCATGCATCAAAAACTTACTATGATAGGCCAAGTAGCTTAAGAAACTGGGGTACACTAGTAGTAAGAACAAGGATGAGTGGACAACAGGAGATTCTAACTTGAAGCATCTCCTGGGGCTCTACTGGATTCAATTCTTATCACTGCTTGACTAACTGTACTTTATTAAGGTGATACATTGCTTTTTAATTATTTGTTTCCAGTTGATTTTTTTCAGAGCTATTTAGAAATTCTATTTTTTTTTACATTAAAAAGTTATTTAATAAAGAATTTCCAAGAGTTCTTTAGAAGTCAGCATTGCTGCTCTTTTGTCTTCAGTGTCCAAAAAATAAATTTCATTTAAGCCAAACTCCAGCTGAACGCAGTGAGAAAACAAAAGTAAAAAATTCAAGTGACAATAAAGGGGGTAATAACTGAATAAGAAACATGTCCTGAGTTTGATTTTATGATTTTACTAACTTGATATAGTACTTACGACAGAGAGAAGGAGATCTCCAATGAATTACTACACCCTGCTCACAGCATTTGTGAGAGTAAGCTGCGATGCTTGTGCATAAACACTCACAGTCTCCACCAAGATTACAGTTACATGTGTCTGTATGGCAGTTTTTGACAAATGAAGTCACATCAATCTGAAAAGTGAAGAGAAAAAAAATGTGTACATGTATCCCCACCCAATCTGGTCTATTTGCACTCAAAACTACCAATTTCAATAAGAATTCGCTTTCCAGAAAGACACAAAATTAAATCCTTTAAGCCTACTGGGGGGAAGTATGAAAATTTGAAACATTTGGATAAAATTACTTTGTTTTGTAAGATAGATAAAATTAGAAATTCTCAGTGCCTACAAACAAGTAGCACCTGATCCTTCTCTCTCTTTCTCCCTCTCTCTCTCACACACACACTCACACACACGTGCATGCTTGTCATGTACAGACATTCAGTTTCTACTGGGAGAATCTCTATTCCCAAAGTAGAAACCAAAAGTCTGCAGATGTTCAAGCTTTTGTTCCCAAAGCAAAAATGCTGATTCCAGGAGAAAAAGAACCCAACTTTAACCAAGTAAAAATTGCTCACAGTATAGTTTCTCCCTGGAGATTAAGCTTCTCCCAGAACACCTTACCCCTGGGGACCAGGAAGAGTGGAGAAAGGAAAAAGGTTCCTGTGCTTTCCAAAGACTGAGGTCACCCTTCTTTGGAGAAGGGGTGGAGGACAGTTGCTCCCATCCCTCTCGTAGACTGGGAATGGAAGGAAGAAGTAGATACCAGCTGCTTCCTGCCTGCTTCTCACTCTAGAGTTCCCAGAGCGAGATGCAGGCAGGGATTTTGCTGCACTGGGGCTCTGGAGCTGGGTGCCGGGAGCAGCATATCTCCCTACCTACTTCTCCCACCTATGATCCCAGTGTGAGCAGGCAGGGGCTTTGCCATGCTGCTCTGTTCACTTGGCTGCTGGGTACTGGGAGCCAAGTACAGCCCCCTGACTGCTTCTCATACCAGGGTCTGTAGCACAAGAAGCAGGCAGGGGGCTTTGTTCTGCTGCTACAGTTTCCCCTGGGAATGAAAGCACTGGAGTAGAGAACCCTTTCCCCAGAACAGGATAGAATCACCCCAGTCTCAGGGGACCAGAGGCATTTGTGGAGTCACAATGCAAAATCATTTCTCATGGTGGAAATTTTCCACCACTAGAAGGGAATGTTTGTATAAAGGCATAAACAGAAAGGTCTGCCATTCTCACCTCTAAAGTAAGTATTGTATAGTCTACAGCAGGGGTTTTCAATCCCCAGGCCGTGGCCCAGTGCCAGGCCATGTCAGGTCAGCTGCTGGTCTGCAGCACAGTTGGCTGCTGGACCAGTAGAAGCCACAGACTAGCAAACTGTGCCCTCCCCACCCCCTCCACAGAGCCAGGTGGAGAAGCTGTGGCTCCTTCTGCAGGACCCACAGCAGCACAGCGTTTGGCTCACCCCCCCCCCCCCC